ACCTTTTAGCTGCGAGGCAACCGTGCTAACCACCGAGCCACCTTGCAGCCCCCAGATGTTTTATATTGTCCTATTTTATATCAAGGAAAAACATGCTTCATATCATGATATTATGCTTTTACATGTATCTCACCATAAAATGTCAGCAGCAGAGATGTCTTTTCATAATTTATTCCTGGCAATATCAGAACCTTGAGGGTCAGATACTGTATGACTTGGATATTTTCAAAATTGTGTTCTCAGTACACATTTCAATAGATATACATGTCATTATTTTTTATCCCTGTAGTGTTCTCACACACTGACCTACATACTGATGTGACGACCAGGCAAGTGTTTGATTGCAGTAAGTGCAATTCAGCTAAAAAGAAGGGATGTGAATGCTTAATCTAAGTTTTATATAAAACTTGCAGTGGTTAGTCTGCCAGCTGACCTACACTTTTTATTCCAAGGCAGTGCAGAGTGAGTGAATTATCCTACCACGCACCACATCTGATATTGTTACACACTAAATGTGCAGGCACACATTCAGGAAACCCTCCAGTGTCAGGTCTGAATCAAGTTGCAAGTCATTAACCTTGTTCCAAGTTCCAGACTTGAGTTTCACACATTAAGCGACATACTATCACCATTAATCCAGAGTAGCAGTGCAGCTAAAAGGGGCAGGGCGCATCCCAATTTAAACTTTTATGACTCAAAGAGGAGCTCAGGTATCACTGCCTCTCCATCTTACATAGACCTATGTGCGTTATCTTCTTTCTTGAGGATGACTGTGCTTTTTTTGCTCTGCAGGTTGGAGATCCGAATGCCTTTCTGCACTACTGGGTTCTGAGAGTGGCCTTTTCTGGAGCAACGGCCTGCGTGGCTCACATCGACGGATCAGACCTGTACGGACAATAAATCTGTGCATTTTAGCACAACTGTTCCAATAAGAGTTCTTCTGTCACAGTAGAATTATTCCGCTGTTTTTCTTTCTGTTCCTGTAGCTTCATAGCCAATGCAGGAGACGCCCGGGCAGTGTTGGGGGTGCAGGAGGAAGATGGTTCCTTCAGCGCTCACACTCTTTCTAATGACCACTGCGCCCAGAACGAGGAGGAGGTCACTCGGATACGAGGCGAACATCCTTCGTCGGAGAGGAAGACGGTCATACGTCAGGTACCGCACCTCCTCATCTGCTCGGTGACGTCGTTTTTATTGCATTTGTTAAAAACTCTTCCCCCTTTTTCTGTCTTTTTCAGGACCGGTTGCTCGGCCTCCTCATGCCGTTCCGGGCGTTCGGTGACGTGAAGTTCAAGTGGAGCATTGAGCTGCAGAAGCGGGTGTTGGAGTCCGGACCCGATCAGCTGCATGAAAACGAACACACCAAGTTCATCCCCCCCAACTACCACACGCCCCCCTACCTGACCGCCGAGCCAGAGATCACGTACCACAAGCTGAGACCACAGGATCGCTTTCTGGTGAGAGAATCGGCAGCAGCACAGTTTCTATCAATCACTAGTGCTGTTTGTTATATTTTACTTGTATACCTAGGCACAAAATGCAGCCTACTGTTATTAAATAGAGGAAATTCCAAGCTTGATAACCACACTGAGTTGCAGTTTAGCTTCAGGGTTCTCAAAACTGTCTACAAAACTTTAAAAGTTGTTTTTTTTGTTATACTGTGCTGATTTACATTTTCTCATTTGTTCTGATAATCAGAGCAGAAATCTAGTCTGTATTCATGGGCCTAATTGATGTTAACCCCAGATTTTTTGGTAATCTAATTTTATAAATCCATTCTGAAACCTCACCTGGGCCACCCTGATAATATCGTAACATGTTTAATATTTACAATTTAAGGTCTGGATGGTTATGATTATCACGTTACCTCTCAACGCAGCAGAACATGCAGCCCTGGATGCTAATGTTGGCTACAAACAATAACAGCTCCAGTTCTCACTGAGGAATAAACATCCCGTGTTGATCAAATTTTCCCAACCATTTATCATCCAAACTTGTATATCCTTTTGCTTTAGTTTATTTTCTCACTGCAAAGTATTATTAACATTAACGCAAGTTGTTGTAACACAGTCTTTGTTTATTTACATCTGTTTCCCCATGATGAAGTATTACAATTTTAAGCTTCATTTTGGGGGGGTTTCCTGAAAAAAATTGCACAGAATTAGTTACACATAAATGGTTTCATTTTACTGTTTTGTTTTTTTCTCGGTTGTTTGTTTTAAAGATAACCTAACTTTTGAATGTTGGGATTAATAGTATCCTGTACAGTGCGATGTGCCACTCCTTTCCAATCTTTTACTGTGTGCATGTCGGAGATTAGAGAGAAGAATATCTGAAGTTTCTACGTATGATACAACCAGATTTCAAAATATTTTAGGAATTTAAAAGCTGGTTTAAGTCAGCATTCAGTGACTTTTATATTGATCCTATTTACGTTTTTTGTTTTGTTTTTTTTTTTTAAACCAGTTTTCTATCCCAGTTTTTCATTCATGTAGCAGCTGTGTAGAAAGACAACATCTTAACATAACTTTAATTGTCCAACTTTTTCCTGCAAGCAATATAAGCAGCCCACAGTGGTTCTCGGAAAACATACTAAAATATACATTTTTATTATTAACTAAATGAGTTAAGCAAGAATAGAGTATGTTGGCATTAGTCACTGTTGTGCAACATCAAGTAGACCAGAGCATACATTAAAAGGTATTTTATTAAAGGCGGAAAAAAAAAAAAAACAAAGACGTGATGTTAATGTAGGCTTCATACCAAAAAGATCTTGTTTGTTTGCTCATCTGTGGAGCTCTTATGGCACCTACACTGCTGAACAAATCAGAGACGTGGGCGCAGATTCAGAGGTCTGAAACCAGCGCTTTTAGGCCCTCCACAAAATGCTGGAGTGAATGTAAGACGCATTAAGGATCTGATGTGTCACTTTTACATAGAAAATGTTAATACACCGGCTAATGACAACCACCGCCTGCAGATTCTATGAGTCACAGCTAATTAATTCAGAGAAACTGACAAATGTGCTCTTCGTCCCGATGTTTGTGCCATTATGCTCGTCGAAGGCGGCTTTCCATCCTCCAGATGCACCTTTTTTGCATCTCTTTTGTGTTTGAAGAGAAAGAGTGCCCTTTTTTTTCTAAAGTTAAAAATATAACCGAGTGTGTAATAAATAAGGGATTATGTAGCTTCCAAGCTCATGGTTGCATGTTTTAGAGCTGGATTTTTTTTTATTTCTGTGGTTGGATTCAAATTAGATCTCCGTGACCTTTTCAAACAAAGGCTGTATTTGTGAAGAAGGAGTTTTGTAATTAATTTCCAGTGGCAGCACTCTCCCAAATTAGTGTTTTGTAATGAACCTCACTTACTGAAGAGCCAGTTTCAGTGAGTTTGAGCCTCACACTGACAGAACACTTTTCTGTTTGTAGGTGATCGGCTCGGACGGCCTCTGGGAGACGCTCCACCGGCAGGAGGTGGTCCGCGTCGTCGGGGAGTATTTAACGGGAGTTCACCAGCGTCAGCCACTCACAGTCGGAGGCTACAGGGTCACCTTGGGACAAATGCAGGGGCTGCTGGAGGAGAGGAAAGCTCGGGTGTCATCAGCCTTCGAGGACCAGAACTCGGCGACCCACCTGATGCGCCACGCCGTTGGAAACAACGAGTTCGGCACCGTGGACCACGAGAGGCTGTCGAAGATGCTGTCGCTGCCCGAGGAGCTGGCGCGCATGTACCGCGACGACATCACCATCATCATCACTCAGTTCAACCCTCACGTGATCGGAGCGCAGAGGCAGGAAGGGCAGTCCTGAGCCGCTTGAAGCCATCCGCCCGACCAGCGCACACACTTCTACATCTAAGCACACTCTGTGGACAAACAGGCCATAACACGACAACATCTGTCCAGCAGGGGGAGCTCATGGTTTTAACACTATTTATGTAAAGAGTTTATATGTTTGTATGCAGTGCTACAGATAATCTGGTTTCCTATGAAGCTTAAAACTGGATTCATTTCTCTTAGACAACATGTTATTTATGCTGCCGCCGTTTGTCCGGCAGCTGTTTTCATACGCGAATCTCTCCGACTCTGTTACAAACTGACTTTGGTGCCAAAACGTTCAACCTCCTCGTCTGCTGTAAGGCTCAGCAGGGTTGAAATTATAGAAGTTCCCAAAGAGGGTGAGCGAGTAAAGAGGCCTTGGGTGACGGCACTGACTCCACAATATGAACTTTAACTGGGCTGTCCAGTTAGAGCAGTACACTCTGTTTCTGGTTGTGTTACTAGTAGAGCCTGACGGATGTTGGATTTTTGGGGACGATGCTTATTTTTAGGGGGTAAAAATTCAAAAAAATTGGCTGATGTTGTTTATGTCTATGTCAGTTATGTTAGGCTGTTTTCCGCTGCAGGCCATTTTTGGGTGACCCAAACCTTCAGTGCTTGTTCTGACCAAAAGAACTGCCTCTGTAGAACTTGTTTCAGGGACAATTTCAGGGGAGAAAAAAAAAAAGCACCTACTCTGGGGTTTCCAAGTGGGCCCAGAAAGCTGCTGGTTAAACTCTGAGAAGACAATAAGCACCTTTTTCTATTTTTCCGTCTTCTCTTAAACTTTGCAGTCAAAAACGTCAAATTCTCCCAGTCAGCAAACATACAAACCTTCATTGTCATAGAACTGGAGTTACGTCCAGTGACTATTTGTTTCAGTGCACTCAAAAGTTAAAGTTGCCGTTAGAGCTGTCTGGTCCGAAACCACAGCTCACACAAACCAGTTCACACCTTCAGTGGAAAGCTTTCTTTATTGGCTCTTGTCTATTAACTTTGAGGCAATGTAGTTCACAAACTAGCAGCAACTTGTAATAAGTGATGTTTCCTCTGCTACATGCGATGGCATCAGAGCGTGCTCCATTGGACAAACTATTTCATGACAGTATTTTAAATTCTTTTAAGCATTTTTACATTATGCTCTGTTTAAAAAAAAAAAAAAATCCAAATTGGGGCATATATGGTGAAATGGATATATCTGCGGTAGACCGACATTCTTACCTCGTATATATGTTAGTTATATTGTAAAGATAACTTTATGGGCTCATTTATTAACTTTTCCTGAAGTGTTTTTCACTAAATAGTTGGAAATTTACTGTGAAGACACTGCTTGACTCCGCACCACTGTTCGATCAACTCGTATACCTACGCAGATACATGCGCTGCCGTTGGCAAATAATGTTATTGGAGCGCAATTTGCTGGACAAACTAAGCGATGGCACCATTTCTTTCCATTAGTGTCTTTCACAGAGTAGTTAGCAGCCTACTGCGAAGACACTGCTTGACTCTGCACCACCGTGTGCAGCACATGTAGCAGAGCTCACATCGCAGCTAAAAGGACGGCAGTGAGAGTATTGCAAACAAAGAAGTCAGAGCCACTTTGCTATATGAATTATGTGATGGTACAGTTTCTAAATTAACGCATTATGTTTAAAAGTTTTCCACATAACTGGCAGCATAATACAAACAATACATCTGTAATAGGCCAATATTATTTATATAATGTTACATGGAAAAGGCAAAATAGGGGGTCCTTGTTGATTAACTTTGCAATTTCTTCCACAACTACTTACATCAACGTCTGCTCAGCTGTGATGCATGCACTGCTATTGCTAACAGTTATGTTTTTCAAAAGAAAGTTTTTGCGTATATCGGACGATAACACCAGCTGGCAGATACATCAGTCGGGCTCTACTCGTTTGCATCCATGACGCTCTTCTAGATTGCTTCTGTTGTTACAAGGGAGGCCTGTTGCATCTACTTGTTTTTACTTCTTTCTGTGTGTCACCGTTTGATAGTACTGTCCACACATATAGTCGATGCTTCCTTCTACATTTACACTGTTTTCTGACTGGTAATCTTTTTGACTCGGGCTCTGCTGCAGCACACTGGAGTGACATGAAACAATCAGATTTGGGGCGTTTGCATCCGTATTAAGCGAGTGACGCAGGATGTGGGTGCAAATATGTTACATTAAAGCTGAAAGTTGGCTCTTTAGCGTCATATTGTGATGCTTCCCGTCCTGTCCGGAGGTTAAATCTGAGGGGTTAGTATAAGTATAGTATAAGTGGAGTATAAGGAGTTGGGAGAAGAATAATTCTGTTACAGGGAATGTATGTAGATAACTGCTTGCCACACGTAGATATTTTGTTGTTTTAAAAGCCAGAATGGATGGAAACCACTGAGCCAGTGATTGTTTTCATGTCAAATCCAGCAGGCTGCAGCACTGAGCAAAGACCACTACAGGTAGACTGATGTACCTGGCATCTCTGTGACATTATCACTGAGTATCTGTGCAACTTCTTCACTTTATGAAGTACTAATGAAGTGAGTTATTCTCCATTTTCCATACATAATGTACCACTACTTTACCTAGAGTGAAAGTCAGTGTCTGAAGCTTCTTTTCCAACCAATGCAAGGTTAAGATGCATGTTTTTTTTGTTGTTGTTGTTTTTTTTCTGACAGGTCATAAGCAGTTGAATTAATCATTTCTTACAGCTTTTATTGTTCACAACGCTGATGTTTGAGAGCGAATCCGGATTCTTTTCTGTTGGAATCACAGGGTCACGGCTGTTTAAGTTGTATTTAAGCCCCAAACGAATGAGCAGAATGTACATTTGAAAGAAGCTGTTTGAATATTAAGTACTATTTATTCAGCTTTAGCAGTATGTTACACACCTTTACTGTCATATGTATAAATTGTAACTTATGTGGGTTAAGTTTTGTATATGGAATGGTTTAATAAAATGCTTAAATACTCAGATCCTGCTGCTGTTTTTGTGTTTTGGTTGACACAGGCGTCCCCCGAATGCAACATGATGTCTAACTAAGCCGGTGAGTTGGGAGGTCAGCGTGTTTCAGGTTGCAGGTTCGACGCCGCCTGAGATTTCAGCAGTCGTCACACATTAGTGAGTTAAATATCACGTGGAATACTGACACCGTTGGTTCCTCCGAGTTGTTCTCATGAAATGCGGTGGATGGAGGATGCTGCGATGGTTCATCACCACTAGATGGTGCTGCAGTGCCACAGTTTCACATGAAGGAGTTTAAATTATAAATGAATACATTTAGAAAAAAAAGGTTGAAATTATGCAAAATCGTAGGAAGATTGATCATTTTTCACAACTGCCATCAATTATTTGATTAAAAACAAATGAAATAAGGATTATTTGAATTATAGTTGAAGCCAGAAGTTTGCATACACCACATGAAAAGACATAAAACCTTTCTTTTTTTTTTCTCACTGAAATTTAATCAGACTAAAGTTTCCCTGTTTTAGGTCAGTTAGGACTACCAACATTATTTCTATTTGCTCAATGCTGAAATAGTGAATTTTTTACTACTTTCTTCAAAGTCAAAAGTTTAAATACACTAAGATTACTATGCCTTCAAACTGTTTGGGAAAGCCCAGATGATGATGTCATGGCTTTGGAAGCTTCTGATAGGTCAATTCGAATAGAATATAATAGAATAGAATGCTTTTTATTGATTCTCCATTGGGGGGAGGGGGGAATTTACACATCACAGCAGCATCCAAAAATATAGAAAGTACAAGAAAATAATAATTAAGTAATATGCATCCTGGTGTGCACACACAGCAGGTCCAAGGCCCCACCGTCTCTGGTTGGCCAGTCCACATACTGGCTGAATGTTGGGAGAGTGGTAGAGAGCGATGTATGATTAAAGTCTCCTGAGATGACGATCAGAGACTGAGGGTGTGATGTTTGCAGCTGGGACACTGAACTATGGATGAGTTCACAGGCTGCAGCAGCCAATTTGACAACATCTGACTTAATTGGAGGCACACCTCAAACACACTGCTTCCTTTGGTAATGAAAAATGTAAAGAAAAATCTAAAGCAATCAGATATCAGGAAGAGAACTGTGGACCTCCACAAGTCTGGTTCATCCTTGAACCACAAAGTTCCACGTACATCTGTTTAAACAGTTGTACACAAGTATAAACACCATGGGAATGTCCAGCCAGTGCTTAAAGCCTCACTGCTGCCAAATACTAAGGAAATGTATGTAAACCTCTGACTTTAAAGAAAAACATAAAAAATTCTCTCTCTCATTATTCTGGTGTTTAGCAAATAGAAAAAATGTTGGTGATCCTAACTGACCTAAAACAGGAAAAGTTTAATCTGATTTAATGTTAGATTAAAAGTTCTGTCTTTTCATACAGTATATGCAAACTTCTGGGTTCAACTGTATATTGGTCCATCTGCTCATTTAATTTTTCACGTTTTCATTTCTCCACTACTCCCTGTAGGAGAAGATAGATTTTGAAAATGGTCAAAAATGGGCAAAAGTCAGCCAAATGCGGCAAAATTGTCACAGGGGTTTTTCAGCATAACGGACTTCCTGTTGGGGTTAGGGCTTGG